GTTAAATACCAATTGACCCAATACTAGATTTTAAGAGAATGTATGTTTGCATTGTAGTTTTAAAACATGGATGGTTAGCTGCTTGTAGGCCGATTATAGGTATTGATGGTTGCTTCCTCAAAGGCATTTGCCAGGGAATTTTATTGTCAGCTATAAGAAGAGATAAAAATGATAAGATGTACCTACAACATGGGTAGTAGTGGAGTCTAAAAATAAGGATTCTTGGATGTGGTTGCTAAGGCACCTAAAAGTTGATATCAAAATGGTGGATGAAACTAGACTTACAATTATATTTGATCAACATGTTGTAAGTATATTTATGTAATCATTATTTTAATTCTACTTTTTCAATAAATAATATGATATGGTTTCTATGGATTGGAAGTTAAGTCGTTTCCCCTTTCTTTTATCTTACCAAAATGTTGAGTGTACTTCCTAGACTATTTTTTTTTCTTATTTATGCATCTAGATTCTTTTGTAAACATAATTTGCATCCAAAATTTTCTTTATCTAAGTATATTCATGTGGTAACTGTGTTTATATGTTGTTATATGTTTTATAGGGTATTTTAGTAGCTGTATGATCAATTTTGCCTAAGGCTGAGCATAGATATTGTACTACGCATATATATGCAATTTGGGAAAAAGACAATAATAATAGAGATGATGAAAAGAAGTAGCACTTTTGGGTTACAGCTAGGTCTACTTATGAAGAGGATTTCAATGATAACATGGACCACATAGAGGATTTGACACAAGCAGGACATGATGAACTTGCAAGAATAGAACCAAAAAGGTGGTGCAAGGCTTTCTTTATGACTCATTCTAGGTGTGACATCATCAATAACAACCTCACAGAGACATTCTTCTTGATTCAAGATGCAAGTCTATTTGTAGCATGAATGATGAGTTGGTAGAAAAACTGACAGTAAGGCATGGTGAGAAAAAGACATATAGTAAAAAGTGGCCTACAAACATTGCTCCAAGAGCATACAAAAAATTACAAAAAAATGTTGACATTTCAACTTATTGCCATCCATCTTCTAATGGAGAAACATCATACAAGGTGAGACATAATCTAGAGTATTTTGTTGTTGACTTTGCAGATTCAAGTTGCACTTGTCAAGCATGGCAATTGTTTGGGATCCCTTGCCCATATGCATGTGCTTGCTTGATTGCTCAAGCTCAAAGTGTAGAGGACTATGTCTTTCATTACTACAAAAGGGATACATATATGGAAGCATATAAGGAACCAATATATCCTTCAATGGGAGGCATGAAAACATGGTCACGAATTGGGTGTGCCCCAATGAATCCACCTCCATTTAGGAAGCAAGTTGGTAGACCTAAGAAAAAATGAAGAAGAGATAAAGACAAGCCTAAGAAGGTTGGCAAGCACAAGATAACAATGTTGAGACTTTCTAACAAGGGTTGTAACTGCTCTTGCACAATTTGTGCAATTCAAGGACATAACAAAGTAGGTTGTCCAAAACAGAATTTGGTTATTGAACCAACCACTCAGGTAAAGCCTTAAACACCCAAAATTTTGATTTTAAAAGTCTCAAGTAAATTTCTAATTTAATATCATGAGGTTTTTTGCAGCCAACACTTAATATTAAGGGAACAAATGCATTGGGAAAGGAGAAAGGCAAGGGAAGAGCCAAAGAGAAGGAAAAAACAACAACAAATAAAGTTGGAGCAAAGAAAAAAGGCAAAGGAAAGGTGACTTGTGAATAAATACATGTTTTTTTTCTATCTAATGCTATATTATTATAAAGTCTAACACTATATTTAATTTTCCATTTATAAGGTTGATGTTGGAGGAGAATGATAAACTAAATTTATATACATATTAATAGGGAATTTTTACTTTAATATTATTGATATTTGGATGAGTTTTATGGGATTTTGTTTGATTTTACATGATTTTCATCCTTTGTGTAGAAAAGGATTTAATTGAAAGAAATCCTACTTTTTAAAAGTAAATTGAAGAGATCAAAGACTTGAGGATCAACTTGTGCAGAATCCAGAAGTCAGGAACCAAATTTGCTATTTTATCATTGAAGAAATTGCAAAAGGAGACTAGAAACCCGACACGGGTGTAGTGTCGACACCATGCGCTAAGCGTCAAGAATCAAATTCTGTTTCTTATTTTGTGTCAACATGTAATCAGAAGTATCAGCACCACGCGATCAGCATCTAAAATTCAGTTTCCTATTTCTATTCCAAGTCCTACTTCTATTTCAATTAAGGTTTCAGAATGAGGAGAGTTTTGGGAGGCTGTGGCAACCCTCTTTTGGGCACTCTTGGAGGTCAAGATAGAAAATCCATCAACGAGAAGATCAAGGATTTCAATTACCTCAAATTAGGTTTTGTTTTTCCTTAGACATTCTTATGCTCATAATTGTGATTTCAGATTTTATTATTTTTATTATGAACTAATTTATTTTACTAGGGCTATAATGTAGCCTAATCAATTTAATATGGATTTTGTGATTTTATTCTTTCAATTAAAGTTATTTGCGTGAGGAGTTTATATTATTGAACCTAATGCATTGGAAGCCTGATCATCTTTCAATTGATTTAGTGATTTATGCATGAACTTGAAAAAGAATTGCGTAGATTAGACCAATAATAATATAAACCATGTGCTAGACTATGAGACTGAGAGGTAATTAGCTCACATGTGGTAGTAGAGGAAGAGAAGAGAGTTAGTAGCTCCCCCTTCTTAAGCTAGAGGTTTTCATAGAATTTAATGCTCATAAGTTTGTTTAAAATTACATAGAGATATGATTAATTTAACAAACAAGTGAATGATTAGCTTGACTTGAGAAAGCTGGTTAATTAATTTAGGGAAATCCGCCATCACATGCAATAACATTCAACAATTTGGTAATCCATAATTTATATTGATTGTTTATGGTGAAGTCAATGCCTTAGTACCTCATATCTTGATTAGTTTTATTTTAATTGTTAGTTTCTTTTTGTTATTTTAATTAAAATTTCATCTTTTCGATAGTTCAAATAAATTTAGATTAATTATTTTGGTACTTAGTTAGACACAATCCTTGTGGGTTCGACACTCTATTCATCATTATATTACTTGGAGCGACTAGTACACTTGTTAGGGTGATTTTAGTGCATCAAGTTTTTGGCGCCGTTGCCGAGGATTGTTGATTTAATTAATATCAGAGTTGGTTAATTTTAGATTTAATTTGAACCTTTTCTTTTCTTTTATTTCTTTCCTTTGATTTTTTTTTTTCTGTTTTCTTTGTTTTTGTTTTTACATGTCTAACTATGAATCGAGTTGCCATAGGTACTTATGTGAGTTATCATTGGCTTGCGCCAAAGATAAGAGCACAAGTTGAAGCAATAACTATCAATTGGGATGCAGAACTTGACAATGATGAACTTGAACGAATTCAAGCAGTTATTGAAAAGATCGAATTAAGGAAGGCTCGAATTAAGGAAGGCTCGAATAGAACGATCAAATATGACTTATGAATGGTGTGGATTAGACCATTTTAGTTCTGATTGCTTATTTAAACGATATAACAAGTGTGTTGATTTTTCTTGTGAGTTTTATAGTCAGCAATATAATTCTTATCCCAATACATGCCATTTTGATCCAAACACCTCATGGAATAATGAAGATATATTGGAGCCATAATCAGGGTTTCAAGCTTTAGAAGAGGAGACATGTTTGAATAAAAATCTGGAGGTTCAATCAAGTCATTTGCTCAACTTAGTTGCTGAAGAGATACAAGGTGAGTTACCTAGTGCAACAATGAAAAATCAAGAAGAAGAGGTAAA